AACCCATTTCGGCCGCTTGTACCCGTGACCTAGTTCTTTCGGTCATGACCCATCCTTCATGACCATAGGTGAGGGTAGGAACGAAGATTGACCGGTAGATCGAGAGCTTTGCCTTCCGACTCAGCTCTCTTTTCGTCACAACGGTGCTGTAAAGCGAGTGCAATACCGCCCCCGCTGCGCCGATTCTCCGGCCAAACTCACACTCCATCTTCCCCTCACTCGTGAACAAGACCCCGAGGTACATGAACTCCTTGACTTGGGGTAAGGACATATTCCCTACCTGGAGTAGGCAATCCATCGGTTTCCTGCTGAGAACCATGGGCTCAGATTTAGAGGTGCTAATCCTCATCCCAACCGCTTCACACTCGACTGCGAAACGCTCCAGTGAGAATTGGAGGTCACAGATGGAAGATGCCATCAGGACCACATCATCTGCAAAAAGCAGCGATGAGATCCGCAGCCCCTCGAACTGTAGACCCTCCTCCCCCCGACTACACCTCGATATCCTGTCCATGAAAACCTCAAACAAGCGGTCTGCCACTCTTTTGGCACTGTCCCAGACTTCCACGCAATGTTGAAGAGGCGTGTCATCCAAGACAACCCCCCCAACACCCATTGCTTTTAGCATCTCTGGACGGGTCTCATCAATCCCCGGGGCACACTGCAGAGTTGTTTGACTACCTCAGTGACCTCCACCAGGCAAATTGACGATGATCCCTCCTCTGCCTCCAGCTCCGCCTCTACCAAAGAGGGCATAGTAGTTGAATTAAGGAGTTCCTCAGTTGCGGTCAACAGGGTCCCATCCTTACTGTACACAGCTTGGATGGTTCCCCGTTTCCCCCTCCTGAGGTGCCGGATGGTCTTTCAGAAGCACTTTGGTGCCGACCGAAAGTCCTTCTCCATAGTTACTCCAAACTCCTCCGATACTCGCTGCTTTACCTCCATCACGGCAGAGGCTGCTGCCCTTCGAGCTTGTCGGTACACTCCAACTGAAGGGGGACTCCGGAGTCCCACCGGATATCATAACCCGGAAGGCCTCCTTCTTTAGTCGGACGGCTTCCCTGACCACCGGTGTCCCCACCGGGGTTCGAGGGTTACCGCCCCTTGATGCACCTAAGACCTTGAGGCCACAACTCACTGCCGCGGCTTCAGCAATGGAGGTTTTGAACATACACCACTTTGGTTCTATGTCCCCTACCTCCACAGGAATGTGAGAGAAGCTCCGCCGGAGGTGTGAGTGGAAAATCTGAAAGTCAAAACTATTCATCCCGAAAATATTTTTCGTCCACTTATTTTTGATTTTGAATACATTGTTGTATTTTACAATGTTCAACAACAAAACTTTGACTTTCAGGTTCACATTTTTTTTTCAAATGAACAAAACTTTTGACCTGGATTTGGCTCCATATTATTGGTCCAGTCATGCATCCGAGCAAACGAAGGTCTCCGAAAACTGCCTTCCTTTACTTATGCATTAGAGCCTTGTAGAAAATAATCCTACAGTATTATTCTTGATTGTAAAATAAAATATTAGTTAGGTTAGAAAGTCAGAGTGTGTGTGCGTGTGTGGGTGTGCACTATAAGTTTAAGTGTTTGAAAGTGAGTTAGACAGATGCAAAGCAGTTGCCACATTGACTCTTTATTTTGCGCCTCTTTTTCAACTCCCGCCTTTCTCGTCAAACTGTGACGGGTCCTCAGAGACGTCTCTGCTGCCGCAGCGTTCACACAGAATTAATCGCACAAACATCAGATGGATTCAGCACTTGGGCTAAAGCTGAAAGCGTAAAAATCTGCACTACGGGCTTTTTTTTTTTCAGGCACCAAGAAGGAGTGGAGGAAAACATCAACCAGTTGGCCGGTAAAATATAAAACACACTAAAATTGGGTCACTTGAATAGATTTGAACCAGTTCTTTGTGTGCTGTTATCAGAGAAACCATTTAAGAGAGCGGCCAATAAAAATGTTGGCATTATTTTTTATTTTCACCTCCAGCTGGGACATTGTGTAAAACTTTGATCTAGTTAAGGGAATAGTTTGTGATTTTTATCTTTATTTTTTATCGAAATTTATTTTTATCGCATTTATTTCTTTTCCCTCATTCATTTGAATACAATCTTAACTACAAATATCTGGCGTATGTTAGAGGCATTCACGTGTGAACTTGGAGCCGCTGACAGGGGCGAGGCTCTCAGGATGGCGAATGTCACCTCTGGCGGGGGGGTGGATCGGTACCAAGAAGGTTCTGGAACCAAAGTCCTTGTTTTCCGGGGAATGGCGCCAACTGGAGACTCTGAAGTTGTGGCACGAGGCTCATGTGTGACCTTGAGGATCGCAGCACCCTGAATCTGCTGTTGTGCTTGTGATTGGCCCTCAGGTGCAGAAAGGAGAAGACCCTGTAAACCCAAGTTCTGGCAGAGTGTTTTCCTTTGTTCCCCCCATCAATAGAATTCTCTGCACACTTAATATTTACTTATAATTTCTTTGTCTTTACGGATTTAAGGATTCTTTTCATCTGATGATGATAATATACAAGCGTGTGTCTCTCCCTGATACGTTAAGGGATGAAATCAGACACATTGGTTTGGTAGCCTGCTCGTTGCACCTGCACCACTGGTGATGGAACGTCTCAGATGTGAAAGTTTGATTAGGTAGACTTGAATTGAAGAGAGCGTGAGTGACTTTGTGTGACCACCAGAGCCAGACCGCTGCTGGAGCGTTTTTTTAATGATGAGCTTGGACCCACTGATGAAACTGGGTCACGGTTCGTTAGCAAAGGTCACAGCGGGTTAATAATGTCCCCAACAGATGATACCGGGTCAAAGACACACACGCACACACACATGCATCCAACTGAATACAGGTCACCGGTCGTGCCCACACACACATATCAGCACACAGTACACAGCGAGTGTATCTTCTTCTCTCAATAGCAAGTGCATGCAATGATCATGAAAATAGCGGAAATGAACAATCATGAAATCATCCAATAATGAAATATTTACTGCTCTTGCAGCAGCTTGTAAAATACATGCAGGCTGTTTGCACAATAATTCTTGGGAAATGTGCTGGAGTGTGACCACATCGTACCCAAGTGTCGTGCTCCACCGAGCTCACTATGCCGCCGCAAACTCCCTCTTCTTTTTTTTTTACTCCCCCATGTGGCATCTCATATGCCTCAATAAGGCTGGCGTGAAAATGATCCTTTTAGAAAAATACAAGACCTATTCATGTATTGACTCATTTATATCTACATTTCTACAAGTATTTGTTTCCTCGGTTATTTATTTCAGTAGTAATTTAAAAGGCCTGTTCATTTCCATAGATTTGTGATTGTCAAAGAAAATGCATCATTAATAATGTTTTCTTTTTTGGATTCCAGCCGTGGTGAACCGAACAGTCAAATCTCACTGAGTAAAGACTGCGAGGACGGAGACACAGATGACAGCCTTGGGGGGGGGGGGGGGCTGCGATTAGAGAGACCAATAACACCGACAGAGAGTGGCCAAGAAAGGAATCTCTGAAGTCAGCTGCAGGGCGCTTCTTTGGTCTGATGAGACCAAAATTGACCTTTTTGGCCATAAGCAATCTTCATTTACATTCCATCCACATGGTGGAGTTTGGCACGGATTTACAAGCTTATGATGCAACCCGGGTAAATCCTGGAGGAAAACCTGAATGCTTTCTGCAGGAAACCTGTGACTTTGGGGGAGATTTACTTTCCAGTAAGACACTGAGCCCCAGTATGAAGCCAGAGCTACAAAGGAATTGCCTCAGAACAATATGTTGATGTCCTGGAGGGACGTAGGAGGGGTCCAGATGTCAATCACATTGAGTGTGCAGCTGCATCTTCTTCTCTGCTAAAGTGATTCAGCCCCTCAGGTTGCATTTAAAGGCTTAATCTCTTTGTTGAGAAAAAGATGCGTCCGCACAGACTGGAGGCTGTAATGTCTGCCAAAGCTCCAGCTAGTCAATCCTGTCTTGGAGGCGGTTGATAAATTATGTAAAGAAGCACTTTTGTATTTCATTTTTTATTTTATTTTTATTTAGTTTGTAGTTCCAAGCTTTAGTCACTTAAGGCGTCATACTTACATCATAACATCCCTATTTGTCTTAATGCACCCACATCCGGATATTAGAATGTATCCGGATGGTAAACATGCATGTTTGAAATACCAAAACAGTTTGCAAATATTGCAATTGTGAAATCAGTAAAAGACTGGAGAGCTACGTTGTTAATTTTTCACCTTGAATCATCTTAGAATATGAAAAATGAATAAAGTGTACCCACTATTCACAAAGCTTGAATTGATTTCCAAGAATACACGAGTACATTCTGTGCGCTGTGACGCACACATGCTCTCCCAGTACTTAACCTGTGACCGCACAGGAATAAGGAGATGTTGCAACTGCGAACGGGAGGAAAGTTGGATGTGAATGTTTTTTAATCCACTACTTGTAGGCATTGCTCTGTATTAGAGTGTATTTGCTGAGGAATGCTCTGTGTTTTCATTGCACTGCCGCTGATTCATTGCGTGTATTTCTGTGTGTTTGTTCTCCTCAGATACTGGCGGACATGAAATTATGGTGATAGGATCTTTTAATTTGTTGTGGGTGCTTGTTCTGGATCATGGTCACCTAATGGTGTTGTGCATTGGGAAGTAACTGATTTTCAAACATGTTTGTTTTTCTCCAGGAAATTAAACAAACTTTTAAAGCATCTCATTGTACAAAAAAGGCTGCGGCTGATTTACTACACACAAAGCCGTGCTTCCACAGTGCATGCATCCAAATCAATTTCAATATTGAATAGGAATATGTTTCGCAAGTTGCTGTCTTTTAATGCGAGTATTTTTACACAAAGGTTTTAGCTCCCATTGTTCTTCCTATAGTGCAAATTGCATTGTGAGAACAAACCAACCAGGAGACCTATAAAATGAGCTCACGCCTGGGATCTTCTGTTCCTGACATGGATTGAAACCCCCCGTTGTCTCTCTCCACAGGGCGTAGGAGCGGACCCCCACATCGCGCTGGCTCTCCCCCCCCAGTCCAAGCTGCCCAAAGAGAAAGCTGACGAGCCGTCGTTCCATCTGCTGGACTCGGATGAGATGACCATCCGGATAGGTAGAGCTGCACCTCTCTCAGGCAAGCCTCCCTTCATATACCCACATCGAAGAAAGCTGACTGTGTAGCACGCTTTATCAAAACAGCGGGGGCCACTGTAGTCCCTCTCAAGTTGCAGGCCCCGGATCACACCGATGTGGTTTGAAAATGCATGAAGAGGGTCTGCATTGGCTCCCACCAACAACTCGCCTGGAGCTTCTCCGATGGCTTCTTTCCACTGTGACATCTGTCTGTTGTCCCTTTCCTTCTCCGCCTGTCCCCCTGCGACACTAATTGGGTCTTTCAATCGCGGTGGCTTGCAAGTGTGTTCTCTCTTATTCGTCTTCGGCTGCCTAGTGACACGCACACTGTAGTAAACACACTTTATGCTGCAGAGTTACACCCAGATGGAGGCACCTCCTCATTTATGCAGATGATTTATTATTGCATCACTTCTGGAACAGGTCCCTGAGCAGATAAATTATGCTGAAATCTAATCATATCTACTGTCACAAAATGATGTGGTTTGCCATATTTGCCAGCACCTTGTATGAGACCAACGGGTGTACGGCATTCAACATATTTATAAGGTGTTTTTGCTTATCACACTCTGTAGTCCTAGTTATATACACTCATACATTTCCTAGTGCTTTATAACTATAATTAATTATTAAGTATTTTTTGATAATTTAATTTCAAGAAAAATGAAAGATCTATTCAAGAGCAAAATTGAGAACACAAAATTAACATTTGATTTAAAGCAAACAACAATCCATTTCAGTTTTATACTTGTAATATAATTAGTTGTATCAATGATTATAATACCTTATTAAACCTCTCTGATTGTATTACTATTATGAGAATTAAAATACAAGACGATCTTTGCTAAAATAAAGCCAGAAAATGAGCAGCAACCACGAAGTATTATGATTCTAGTTGTACAGATTTCTCAATATGTGTGACTGTTGGTAGCTATAATCATACAGCACTAAAAGCCATTAGAACACATTTTGGATTTGTTTATAAAACATTAAAGTAGAAAATAGAAAGTAGACATGTGTTTCTTTCCATTCCATTGCAGTCCAAACAAAAGAACAACAAACTCCCCCCTTTAGGATGTCGGCCATTAACACTTTGACACACTCCCAAACCCCGACGGCTGTGTCCCCCCAGCGCCCTCCCGGGGGAACGGATGAGTTTTCTCTCAGCGATGTTGTCTCATACTTATGTAAAGTATGTTTTTGGCGTGTCCCAGGAGGAAAACTGGAACACAGCAGGACAAGAGGAATTATCAATGGCTCCGTTCCAGTAAAGTGTTCCCAAAGCCACGTTAGGGAGCCGGCGCACACAGTAGCATCTTTGTGTAAAGGTTAATTCATGCAGACACGGGACAGTTTCATAGCAACCTGAACAAGGCTAATTAAACAACATAGCCTGAGGACTGGGTTTACTAATGACTCGCGTCTGAGCCGTTTTATCCTGAGACTTTGAAATGAGGAAAACGACAACTTCCTCCCCTAAAGCTAACGGACGTTTGGTCACACAGAAAAGCACTGAGAAGTGATTGGTCATGAGCAGATCGAATTGGATTCTTCCGATAAGCTACTAACTCAAATATTGTCAAAAGCACTTGCCTTCGGAGGATACCGCCTTCACAGTGTCGTGCTAAATGCGCCGGCCTTGAGTCCTCCGTATGTTTACTGGGATGTTAGACGCCTCCTGCAGCGCCAAGGTCCACACATTGAATATACGCTTCACTCTGGACTCTTCACGGATACGTTACAAATTCATGGCATCCCGGTGGTGCGCCGGAGGGCAGAGGCAACGCAGCAAACAAGAAGAGACACGCACAAATGTATATGCTGGTATAGTGCCATAAGGCACTGTTTGTTCAACCCAGACAGCATTTCGCCAGAAGGTAATTTATATTTCTTAGTCTTAGTGTTAGTCTTTAGCAGTTTTGTGAGTCGAGGAAAGCATTTAAAAAAGGCTTTAGTGCATATCTCCATCTGAAGACTTAGAGGTTATTCAGGTTCTCACTTGGCACATACAGGTGAAGGTTTACTGCTCGTGATTTTCTTTTCAACAATGGGTTGGTGATTTTCAACAGAGTAAAAATCAAACCTTGACCAAAACATAATTGTAGAAGTGGAACATAATTAGGACATGTTTTTCAGATAAGATAAAAACACGGTTCCTGCAAATGCAATTGTCCATCTTTATGAGATTCTTTTCACTTGAAAGCATTCAAACTAATATTCATAATGACAACTTCACATGAACACAATTCAAGTCTTCCAGTATGTTTTACTCTTTCCTTCAATGTCTCTCAGATTTCATATATTTTTTTCATATTTCTGCCTTCAAATTATTCTTGATGATTGGTGGTTGGTTGCTCTTTTCTGAAGATGCTCGATTAATTATGGGGTTATTTCCTCCTGTCCTCCTTTTCAAGTGCTCTTGGCTTGGAACGCTTTGCTCTTAAGCGCAGTCGCTACTTTCCCAGCCATCACAGAAGATTACAGTAAAAACTCCCATTACTTTGGACCTTCACATGTGTGGTATATGAATGTGGATGTTTTGTATTGCCTTCTTTTACTTTAATTTGGGCTTCTGCTCAGGATGTCTTTCTGTTCTTACAAAACAGCTCTAAAGGAGTCCTCCTCAGCACAATACTGGGACTAAAACAGTGTTTACGAACTGCCATTTCATAAGCAAGTATGTTCACATGTAACCGAGATGCAAAAGAAATATGCCAACTACCCAAAGGTCTTGCTTGATTCCAGCTGCTCCGGCATTGTTGGAGATAGGTGCACGTTCATCAAGTGAGTGGTGGAGCGAGCAGAATTGTTGGAATGTAGATGGCGTGCAGCTAATGGGGCTATATTGAGCTTTGAATGATGAATAGAAAAGCTTTTATTAAGGGAAGTGGAAAAAAGGACTCGGGCCCTGGTTTGGTTTGAGTGCTGGTTTACGGTCTTTTCCATCAGCGAGGAGTAGCTGATGAACTGAAAATGGACCTTCAAATAATTGTCCTTAAATAGATTCTTTAAAATATAAACACATATGTTACATACATATCATAAATTAAACACACTATTGTCCCAAAAAAAAAAAACAAGGTCTAGTGTTTTATTGTGTTCTCTTTTTAAAAAAGTAAGCTAACATTCAAACAGGATCTGTTTGTTATTCCCAATATCATTATTTCATTAATGTTCAATAAATTAGTGCTTTGCATCTTGCTGCTCTCCAGCTATTTGATGTGGAAGCATGTTCCCTGCTGAGAGAAGCATGGATTCACACGCGCACGCTCCAAAGCATTCCAGTTCCTTCTCATTCTTAATGCATGGCGTCTTCAATAATTCAGTCTGCATTAGGAGGAATCAAAGTGTGCCTTTAGGCGTTCTGTTTACTTATGTCTTCAGACAGAATTTTCGCAATGTGCCATAAAGTGACAAATGGGGATGGATTGGAATTTCTCAGTGAAGGCTAAGCAGCCAATGCTGTGCAGAATACCAATCTCCGTATTACTAGGAATGCCACCCAGTGTTATTCAATAATTCATCTGTTTTTTTTCAGGCCTTGGGGCAAAGATCACAGCCAACAGGACCCATCTTTGCTATCCGAGCGATCTTTACAAACCACATCATATATCTGGAATCATTTTATTAAGATGAGGAAGACAGGAATCTGACACACTGAAAGGAGTTGGAGGGATCGTTTTTAGTTCAATGTGTAAGTCGTTGTGCGAGCTATACAAATAATTAACTGACTATGGATTTGATCTTTAAAGTTGTGAAAAGAGCAACTCAGAAAATGGAACAAGCAGCTCATTCAGCAGCATCGCGGTATTCAGAAGCAAAATAATGACACATGCTTACCTGCTTGTACACACTTTGGCTTTGTTTTGACCGACCTCGGGGAGGGCAGAGAATGGGAAATCTCCTTTTCATTAAAGACCTGTATAGGCTCCATACTTGAGATGGAAAATGCTGAGAGAGTCCAATGGACAACGCTACATTGTGGCCGAGTTGGTTCTCTATAACCGGGAAGAGATTTCCTCTTTGTGATTAGCTTAGAAAGGGGTAACACAAAGTGAGAGTGTTGGCCAGTATCATAAAGGATGCACCGATTTACCCGTTCTTCTCACCAAGGAACTTCCTTGGGAAACATTTGCAGAGGGCGTTTTTGGATGATAATATCCATCCATCGTTTAAGGCAGTGGTTTACAAACGTTTCTGTCGAGCTCCAATTGTATGATACAGGAACATTGGAGGCAAGCTAACTGTCACTCATTGTGACCCTGCAAAACAACTTTTAGGGCCATAACTCAAAAATTCATAGGCTTGGCCTGACAATGCCATACCAATGTCTGATAGGACTGGATGATGAAGTGAGGATATTCTGAACAGACATTGCTGTAACCTGAAACTTGGGATGAGGCATTCAACCGAAGCAGTAATTCTCTTGCCTTTTCTTCAGAAATCCCTTCTGGGTACATTGAACAGCTGAAGCACTAATTCACAAAACTGGCTGAAAACCGCGTGTTTTTGCTGCAGAGGAACTGATGCGTTCATGGCAACAGTGCTTCTTAACTACTTTTTTACATGCCCGCTGTGACTGCAGTGTTGTGTTTAATAAGGGAAGGCATCGTATGTCCAGGCTAGACTCCCAGCGGCGTTCTTTCACATATTGCATTACAGGGTCTTTCACTTGTTTTTCCCAGAGTGAGCCCTATTGTCTACTCCTTTATTTCTTTGGTGACAAATAAAAACAAAACCTACAAAACTTAACTTCTCCTGGATCTGTTAAAGCCACTAACCTACTGCACTTTCTCTTTAACGTAAGACTCTTTAGTGCTTTTACTGCAGCCATTAGCTACAGGGATGCGGCAATGCGTCAAAATGAGACAGGTAAAGATTTAATATTTCATGTATAACCACGACTTTTACTGCGTCCAAATGTGGCCATTTCAAATCAGAAGAAATATCTTAATTGGAACAGACCTGTGTGAAACACAAGTAGTGCATCTTTTGCAGATG